TTGCCCAACATGCGCACAGGGAAAAGCTGCCATAAATCAGCCGTGTTTCCTGATCAGCAAGAGGGCACAGTGTTCCTGGGGGGCACCCACAGAGGGTTCTGGATGGCTTCAGAGGAGGCAGGGGGTGGGGCAGGCTCCCTGAGGCCTCCATGGCTGGGGCAGAGAAGGGACGATGGTTGCTTAGGGAGCAGAGGCTGTATTTCCAGTGGAAGGTTGTGCTGTCACTTGCCAAGGCGCAGAAGTATCTTCAGATCCAAGAGGGCTTGGGACAGGCTGTGACGGTTCCCTTTAGGCTCCGTCTGGGTCATTGGGTGATATGCCCTGGGTCTAGGCTGCCATATTTGTTCACTAGTGTCCCCATATCCAGACCATTATCCCTCCACGAGGACCTTGTCAGTCACCTTAGAGTGGGAATAAGAAGAAGACATGAAGACTTGAAATACCTTTTAAAATAGCAGCGCTCCGATCCTGGCTGCCCCTTGACCTCTGTGCAACTCTGGCAGCTCCCCTGTCCCCTCTTCTGGAAATGCCACCTCCTCCCTGTCCCATTTCTCTGCAGAACATAATCATCCCATTGGGGTCTGGTTGACTCTGGTTCTAAGGCCAGGTAGACCTTGCATGGTTATCTAGGATTAGAGAGATCACCTTGCTTAGGATTCTTGCACTTTAATAGCAACTTTGTAGAAGCAAACTCATCTAAGGGGGCTTCTTTCAGGTGTTTTATGTTACCTCCAACAATACTAGGCCCTGGTCATTCAAGGTTCTTCCTGGTAGACCTTGGGCTGAGGCAACAAATCCTTGAATGGAAAAGAGAGGACAAGGACGTTTTGTAAAGAAGGAAAGATGAGTTGGAGTGAGATTCACACATTCAAACACATGTGTCAAAGACCTGCCCTGGGCTAGGCGCTGGACATCTGCTGCCGCCAAGTAGAGCAGGAAGCCAAGCAAGGCAGGAAGGGCCTCAGATGAGTTCTAGGGGCTTGTGATGACCTTGGAGAGAACAATTTCCAGAGAGGATGAGGGGGAAGGACAAAGTTCAGGAGACAGTGAAGACGAAGGTCAGGAAATGGATCACTGGGCATATGAGAATCACAGAATACGTTTCTTAAATGAATGAATTCCAATTCCAACTTGAGGGTGATAAGAAAACTTTCTTTCTCTTTACAACACAGGGTATTAACCCTAGGACTTTCACACTAAGCTCATCCCCAACCCTTTACATTTTTTTAAATTTTGAGACAGGGTCTTGCTATATTGCCCTAGCTGGGCTTGAATTTGTCATTCACCTTCTTTATTTTTTTTTTAATTTTTTTTTAATTTTTTTGGTTTTTCTCTGGTACCGGGAACCGAACTCACGACCTTGCGCTTGCCAGGCAGGCGCTTTTGCCGCTGAGCTAAATCCCCAGCCCTCACCTTCTTTAAATCCACCTTGGTCGGGTCTCTAGAGCAAGGTCTGAACAGTGGGGCTGCTGGAGGGGAGTCTAGATTCTAGACTCTGCTTAAACCAGGCTTCATAACAACACAAGCGTGCTGGGGTCTGCCATACAGCCAGGGTTATGTGGGCTTGTGGGTCCAGCTCCCTCAAGAGCTCAGCTGGTCTTGCCCAAAGTGCCTTCCACTTTGCAGTCTAGGGGGAGCTCCCTTGGCCTAAGCCTCCGGGGGGAAGGGGGCAACACGGTCTTCTCTCGTCAGGCACTGGCAATGGATGTGTGCACAGCCATTGAAGAGAAAAGCCGTCTTTGGAAGCCATACACCCAGGGAGGCCTGTTTCTAGTGGGTGGGGCCAGAAAGCTAGGAAAATAATAAATAAAAACAAAAGTGAAGAGAAGCAAAGCTCTCGGGTGCCAGAATGGGGCTGGCTGAGGCTGTGGCTGTCTGAGTAATGGGTTCCACATTTGTCTGGCTCCGCTGCAGCCACCAGGATCCAGGGTGCACAGTGGGCCTCGCAAGGGCCAGAGGGGACAGCTCAGCTGCGACCAGACCTAGCGTACCCTTGCGATGGCCCCATCCCTGGCTGGCCACCACATGGCTGAGATGTTGCTTCGAGCTCATACTTCAGCACCCCAGCCTTCCTCCCCTCCTCAAACTCCTCCCCTCCCCGAGGCTCCTGGGCTCCTGCCGGCCTGCACAGATTGTTCGTGTTATTAATGCCGTTTTCCCAGAGATTCCATCTGGCTTTTTAATTGCTCTGGGATGGGGCTAGGATGCTTTGATAGTGAATTGGTATCTTTCCTATGTCTCCGCTTACGTCAAATGCTCCATCCACAGAGAGGGGTATGGAGGAGGGACAGAGGTAGGGATGATGAGAGAGAAAGTAGTAGTCTTATAGAATCAAGAAAGTTCTTTTGAAGGTGATTTAGGGCTTTTTTTTTAAGCACTGGGTATTGAGCCCAGGGCCTCTGTACTGAGCTACATCCTGAGCGTTTTTTTTTTTTTTTTTGAGACAAAGATCACCCTAGCTTCCAAATTGCCCAGTTTGAACTTGAGATTCTCCTGCCTCATCCTCCTAGAGCCCTGGCATTACAGCGGAGTGCCACCACACATGGCTGATGTATTTAAAGAGAAAAGAAGAGAAAAGGTGTCCTCTGCCCACCAGCATAGGAAAGAAACAGCTGAGATAACAACATCATCCGGCAAGGACTCTGCCCAGTGTCTGCAAAAGGCCTCTGGATGCTGAAAGGAGAGGCCTCTGAGCTAAGCAAAGTCAGGGCTTCTGCTCCCCCTTGACCTTTACTATGAGGGGCCCCCTCCCCTCTTGTGAAATCAGCAGGTCCTAGAGGAGGCCTGGCAGGTTCCTGCCTGGGAAGGAGGGGGCGGGAGACCTGGGAGGGGCAGACACTCCTCGAAGTCCCAGAGGCTCACCGCAGGTGTTGGGGCCAAACCCCATATTCACAAATTCCCAGGAGATCCAAGAGATAAGGGTGACATCTGTGACAGCACTAAACCATCAGGAGGCAGCTGGCGGCAGAGGACCTGCCTCTCCCTCCCTTTTTACCTTTGTTCCTGTCCTCAAGGCTGGCTCCCCTGAACAGCAAAGGACACAGGGCTCGAGGGTAGCCCAGAGAAGACAGCAGGTCCCAGCAGTCAGGTAGAAGCATCTTGGGACAGTGGGTGGCACTGCCCTCACCAGGTGCTGGCTCAAATCCGCCGCCTCTAGGACACCTGTACCCCCTCCCCCGCTGCACTTGTCACTCTGACACCACAGCTTGGGGCTGTGAGCTCCTCAAGAGCAGGAAACAGACTGCTTGTTCCCAGCAAGTGCCTCTATCCTTGGCTTGGACCCTGGCATACAGTGGGCATCCAGTCAATACTTGGGGTGCATTCAGTGCCAGGCTTATTCGAGGGGGTCTTCGTGAAGGCTGAAGTCAGGAGAGGAACTGAGGGGAGCCCTGCAGGAAGCAGCGAGTGTCCACAGGTGGCTGTCCCTGGGGTCACCTTTGGTGGGGGACAGAACATGCACTGGACACGTTCATCCCACGTTCACTTTGCTTTCGCGAGGGCTTTGCACTCCCCCAAAGCAGGACACACGGTCTTCTTTTAGTCCCTCTGGAGGAAGCCTTATTCTCCCCATCTCTTTTCTGGGGCCTGATGTGATTGGTTCCATCTTGTCCCCAGCACAGCCCATCCCAGACCTCGTGGTGCAAAGCAGCAGGGCCACCCTTTGGAAAGCTGCCAGCTTTGAAAGAGGAAGCCCTTGGAGGGATGGCCCAACAGGAGGGAGAGGAAGAAGGGAGGGCAAGAGGGTCGCCCCTCCCCTGCACATCCTGGGATCTGTTCTGGGGGCAAAGGAGGAAGCCAAGGATCAGCCCCTCCAAACAAGAAAAACTGGAATTAGCACTGAACTCAGAGAGGGTTTGCTGGGGCCTAGCAAGCCGGGGCCTGCCCCAGCCTCTAGGCAGGTGGTGGGGCTATGCCTCCTCGGTTCCCAGGGTGGCAGGGCGGGCCGCCGCCTCCTCACTGGGCTCGTGGTCTCTCTGCCAAGGGCAGCCATGGGTGAGGCGGCGGCAAAGCACAGGACAGAGATGAGGGGGCGGAGAGGAGTGATCTCTGCAGGCAGGTAAAGCTGAAGTTTTCAGAATTTAAAAGAATGTGTAATTTCTCGAAAATGCCCTGGCCTTCTTGTGAAAAGGGAAAAAAACATGTTTCACTTTTTACCCTTGGAGAGGGGAAGATACAGAAAGCACCAGCAGCCTCTTTATTACTGCTTCCTAGGTCTCCCGGACTAAAGCAGGGGTGAGGTCTGCCGTGGTTGGCTGTCACTGCTGCTGAGGAGGTGCTGGGGGCCTGTCCTCGTGGGGTGATCATCAGGTCTCAGCCTCCTGCTTCGTACGGGATCAGCAGATGGATGCTGGGGTTGCCTTCTCTACAGGCAGTGTGCAGGGAGGGGTCAGGCTGCGGCCCCTTCCTGGGCTGGCTGGGGCAGGACAGATGTGGAGGGCAAGAGGGAGGGGGACTCAGCCTACAGGATGCCCTTCCGGGTATCACTGGGGTAGGCTGAAGTCACATGGCCCAGGGAAACTGAGGGCAAGTGGGCAAGGGTGGAGGGTCCGACCTTCCAGGTCACTTTCTGCCTCCCAGGGTCCTGACAGAAGGCTAGAGCTAAGGCATATGTGAGCCAGGCTGCTCTGGAGCTAGAGTCTAGTGATTTGGAAGTAGACCCTGAGCCTGGGGCTGCTGGAGGGCTGCCTTCTCTGGGCCCCTCTTCTCCGGGCCACACTATAACTTTAGCTCCATGCACCTCTCTGAGACACCCCCAGCACCACCCCTGCCCTCACAGGACTCTTTCTTCGGCCACTAGTGTCTCAGCCCGGAGCACGGTCCTCCTTCCCTTATTTATCTTAGTTGGGGGGAAATCAACCCCTCAAGGTAAAGAGGGGCTAAAGAGGTGTTATTTCATCAGGATCTCAGCCAGAGAAAATGCTGTGATTAGTTGCAAATGTGACCTGGCCCACAGAAAACCTTGGAAGTAGCTTCTTTCTAGTTTTAAAAAGACACCAAAATTCACTTTGATATGTTTATATTATAGATATAATACATAAAACATCTAACACGAAACTATGCTCTCCCCGAAAGAAGACAGCCAAGTGGTCCTTCCCTGCTCCCAGCCCCGGCGATGTGCACACACTGGCTGGAGGGTGCTTCCTTCCAGACCGGAGCCAGGGCCTCTTGGGGGACAAGCCCACAGGCAGCCCCAGCCAGAGGGAGCGCAGGCCCAGGAGGCCCACAGCCCAGGACAGGGAAAGCCTAGGGGGAAAGGGAAGCCCATCTGACCCCTTTGGTTCCCCCACAGAGAGGGACAAAAACAACCCCAAAACCAAAAGGAAAGAGAGGCTCAGACCCTTCCCCCAGCCACTGATGGAGAGTCTCATTTTGGCAAGTATCTGAGCAAAACCAAAACAAAACAAAAACCAAATAAAATGGTGGTTTAGCATAGACGTGCACATTCACATTGCACAAGGCACTGCTGGGACACAGAGGCCAGATACAAATGTTGATATCGGCTGATAAAGCAAAATATTTGGAAAGCTTGTCATAACTCCGGTCCCTCTGGGATGGGCTGATTGTGCTTCATGTTTGTACGGCAATGCTGGCTACATACAGTACAGACAGGGCTGATGGTCCCAGTATCCCTTGACCCTCCCACCCCGAGACCACATCCCCAGGTTACCCTCTTCCACCAGGTCACCACCCCCTAGAACACAAGTCCTTAGGGCTAACTCAGGACCTAGCCTTCCAGTAGGAGGTGGCGTGGGGGTCTCCTGCGAGTCACCCGGCGAGTGCTAACCTAAGAGGACCGGCCTGTTGGAGGGAGAGATGGGGTGGGGGTGGCGGTGGGAGAAACAGGAAATCTCTGGACCTGCCACCTCCGTATAGAACTAGGGGGTAAACCTTAGGTTCGAAGCCCCAACTCCTTAAGTTCCTCCCCTCTCTGGACGGGCACAGAGGAGCGGTTGGGGCTGGATGGTTAGGATCTCAGCTTCCTGATGGGCCAACACCCTGCCTTCTCTCCTGGAGGCTTCCTGCAGCCTCAGAGGAGGCAGGAACCCTCCAAATAAAATATCAAGGCACGTGTTTGCTCCCCCTACTCGGTAGGAATCAGAGCGAGTTTGCATTTCCAAGGCACAAAGTTATTCCTTAACACTAGAGCTCGGCCCCAAGAGTTCTCCCGTCGCAGGGAGAAACCCCCGTCTCATTCCCTCATCTTAAACGCACCGAGTCCGGCTCAGAGAAAGGGAAGGGACACGCGGAGCAGGCCAGGCTTTCAGGCGGCACCGAATGTCTTAGTCCTGGCTCGCACGGCCGGGGTAGCCTTGAGATCCAACGACCCGAAACCACTCCCCGGGTCCCCGCCAAGGGCCGGCCTGCGGCGGTCCGCTGCCGCGTGCCTCACGCGCAGTTGCTCATGGCCTTGACCAAGGAGCTCTCTGGCAGCTGGCGGAAGATGTCCCGCAGCGTGTCCAGTTCGCGGCTTAGCTGTTCCACCCGCTTACGCAGGCGGTCATTGTCACTGGTCAGCTCCAGCACCTTCTGCTGCGTCTCCACGTTGCGCTGCTTCGCCTTGTCCCGGCTCTTGCGCACGGCAATGTTGTTGCGCTCGCGCCTCACCCGGTACTCGTTGCTGTTCTTGTCCACCGACTTCTTGGCCTTGCCCGCGCCCGTGCGGAGGTCAGGGTGCGCGGACGACAGCCCCTTGAGCGCGCCACCCGGGCCCGGCAGGCCGGCGGCG